TTTTTCTGAGTGACAGTAATTTATTAATAATTCAGAAATGGTTTGTGATAAATTACTTGTTTATTTATGGAATTAATCATGATTAAAATTTGTATTAACGTATGTTTAATTTGGGTTTATGATGTAATTATTTTAAATTCTACAGGAGATTAAAAATTTAAAATTTTAATTTTTAGATTTTTTAATATTAAAACTAAGGATATTTAAACAATAAATAAATTATTTATATAATAATATTCATAATTTTATTTTAGACATTAAAAATGATAATAATGTACTTTAGCGCCATCTATGATTGAATTATTTAACTAAAAATATGATTGAAAGTCTATATAAACTTTAATCCCTTATTTAACACCCTTAGAGTTATAATTTTTGATATATTAATACTTATTCTGCTATTTGAGACAAAGATAAATCCAAAAAATCATAGATAATCAAAATCCCTCCAGCTGTTCTTGAGTTATAGATGATGTAACTAACAAAACTTTTATTTTATGTACTTTTATATAAATATGTTGTTAAATTTTTATGTTACCAGTGCTAAAATAGTAAAAAACCTTAAAATTTTAGTTTTTCTTTAAATTATTAATAAAAACCCAAGAAAAAACTTAGATCTGAACATATAACACTCAAAAACATTTGATGAGTTTTTTTCTCTTGGTTATTTCACTGCCCATAACCTAGATACCTAAAGTAAGGATCCCTTGGCGTGTTGGAGTGTGAAGCATCGACTAATAAATTTCCCCTAACGCCTTTCCTCAATACTCAATAGATAAAGAGCCCGATAGCCATTTCGTTCGAAGTGCGAGAGCTTTCTCAGATCCACGCATTCGCTCGCAGTCTCTTCGATCTGCTCGATGCGCGCTGTGTTCTTCTGTTCTTTGCCTCTTTGGAGATGTGGTGGTAAGTCGTCGGCGTGATCGGCGCCAATCGATAGCGCGCGGGGCATCGCGCGTGTTCCGAGTGTCTTAACAACGTCGCGAACAGATATCCGAGGCGGAGTGAGCAACTGAGCACAACTGAGCACCAATTGAACGATAGTGTATAACAGATTGCGCATTGAGTATTGAGCAGATATAGGAACAGAGGGAAGATGGATGGAGGCTTGAGTCTTAGAGGGTTAGGAGGAAGACAAAACTGATTGTTATACGGAGAGAATAGAAAAAAAGTGGAATTTGAAGTTTAAAATCAAATTACTCAAAAAGTATGAAAGATAAAAATATGAAAGAAATTGCATTTTATAGAACAGTTATCTGGGTATTATTGATATGAATATAAATAAATTATTTTAAAGTTTAATAATTTTTTTTGAATTTAATAACTTTTCATGTTTTTTGTTATAAAATTGTTAATAACTATTGAATTATTAACTTTAAAAATAAAACCAAAACAGTTTTTGGAAGTATATTTAATTCTTAATATAATAAAATTTAATTCAATCAAATATCTTTATTTGTTCAGGAGTTATCGTTAATTAAAATATAAAATCCTAATTTTAACTTTTAAAATATTATTTGCAGCTACCTATAAATCAACTTCAAACTAAAATCACATTAAAACTATCACTGATAAACCAATAAATATAAAATCTAATTAAAATTAATTTTACCATCAAAATATGCTAATTTTTTAATTAATATAAACAAAATAAACAAAAATTTTACTCAAAAATATAAATTTCAACACTCAACATCAAATAAATCAATTTAACACATAACAAACTACCTTAATTAAATAATAATTTAAATAAATGAAAACATGCCGCGAATGTTTCATCAAATCTGTGTTCTCATCGTCTGATGATCACACACTATACTATAAACGCGTGTTTTTATGCTTTCTGCAATCTCTGCGCCCAGACACCAGAGACAGCAAGCAGGTAAGCTAAGATTGCACCGCGCATGCAGTAAACTCGCCTCGACGAAGGTGCGAGCAATAGAAAACGGAATTTACCTGGCGTCAGACGCGGCCCACGCACGCGCACGCGAATTGCGTGTAGGTTGATTAGTCAGTCACACACATTCACGCTGCGACCATCAACGAAGTGCGAAGCCGGCGCGCAGGTAGAATTCCAGCAGGGACTTTAGTCACACTGACCAACAACGAAATTAAATGCGACAAATGCGGACGGTGCGTACTTAAATTAAATTAACTTCTAACATTTGAATATTTTTCGTTTAAAAGCAAGAAAACAAAAGAAAACGCATAATTTACTGAAGAAATTAATTAAATAATTAAAATTTACACCTTGTATAACTAGATTTTTATATTTTATAAGACAAACATAGTTTTTTTCATTTAAAATTTTTAAAACAAATTTTTGAATATAAAATTATTCGTAATTAAATAGCGTTTGAAGTATTGTATTAAGTATTGACTTTAAAAATGATAATAATCCACTTTAGCGCCATCTATGATTGAATTAGTTAACTAAAAATATGATTGAATGTCTATATAAACTTTCATCCCTTATTTGACACCCTTAGAGTTATGATTTTTAACATTTTAATACTTATTCTGCTATTTGGGACCAAGATAAATCCAAAGAATCATAGATAATCAAAATGCCTCCAGCTGTTCTTGAGTTATAGATGATGCAACTAACAAAACTTTCTTTTATGTAATAAGAAATAAATTAAATAATAAAAATTTACTTGTATAACTAGATTTTTATATTTTGTCTTATAAACATTGTTTTTTTTTATTTAAAATTTTTAAAATAAATTTTTGAATATAAAATTTGTAATTAAATTGCGTTTGAAGTATTCATGTTCTTGATGCAGATAAAACGTAAGAAGATGACTTTGCATACCAAATACTTTCGGTAGTACTTTTGTAGTACATTTACTCATGCTTTTTCAACGTCTCGCCGTTTTATTTCTTATTTTACGTGTGCGCGGTCGCAAATTCAGCGCGTTTATTATTTTTTGTCTTCGGCGAGCGCGCTATCGAATGGAGACATCCATTCGAGGTAATAAAATTCACATCGCGCTCATTTGTCATCGCAATTATGCGTTATTTATGCGCCGTTTGATTTTATTAAACGCCACAATGCGATAAGCCGAGTGATTAATTATTTTATGAATGCCAGGGCGCTTGGAATGTAAATTACGATACTTTCGTGACAGTTTTTTAAGTTTTTTATTTGATTCATGAAATAATTAAATTTTTGTAATAAAAAGTTTAAAATTTTTACATAAAACATATGGATATTATGGGTAAATGTATATTTTATGTTGTAGACTATAAAATGATGTATTAAACTATTTATTTACATAGAAAATTTAAAATGTATGTTTGTGCTTTAATAACTTCTAAACGCCTGGATGGATTTTAATAAAATTTTCAGAAAATGTTTAGATTAGTCTACCGGGTAATCTTATAAAGTTTCATTGTGAAATAATAAGTTTAAGGGTGTGAAACAAGGGATGAAAGTATTTTTTCACTAAATTTTCTATAATACTTATGTTAAAATATAAAAAACTTGCATTGACTACAAACTGACTCATTTATTATTATTTCAAAGAAACCAGCTCATTCTTCATTCGTAACAGACCGCCGAAAGTTAATGATATTCGTACTGAGTGAACCCACCCACAAGTTGTCGCGCGCAGAACGTCGCCGAACCGCACGAAACCTACATAACAACGTAGAAAGAAAAAATACGAATCGTTTGAAGAAAAGTTGTGTTTTTTTTTCTGCTCTCGTTTTGTTTGTTTTCCATTTCTGCCCTGTTTCGTTAGTCGTTTCGGTAGTTTCGCACGCCGGAAGCGTTCCGGCGAGAATTCACAGTGCCTGCAATGGTCATCAAGAGCGGTGCACACTGCGGCGGCCATAAAAACCGCCGACAGATGGTTTTATGTTATTGATATTGCCATCTCGATGCCATTTTCGTTTCTGTTGCGTCTTTTCTGGCCAGAAGTATAAAAACGGCGCATATGCAGCCAACGAGGAATTCAAATTTAATTCACAGACCACGCATTAGGAATAAATTGCTTATTTGACATTTTTATTAATTGTATGAATTAGGAACATGTAAAATGATCAATTGTTTGAAATTCCGAGAAATTATCTTGTTTATCATTTTGTTATCAGGAAAAATATCAATTTCTTATCAATAGAAGCACGTAATTGATTTATTTTATTGATAATTATTAATTTAATTGTTTATTTGATGTTTTTAAGCAATAATATGTTATTTTTATTAATTGTATCAATTAGACACATGAAAAATGTGTTTGAAATTCCGAGAAATTATTATGTTTATCATTTTACATAAGTATTATAGAAAATTTGTTAAAAAAACTTTCAACCCTTATTCCACACCCTTAAACTTGTTATTTCGCTATGAAACTTTACAAGATTACCCGGTAGACTAATCTAAACATTTTCTGAAAATTTTATTAAAATCCATCCAGGCGTTTAGAAGTTATTAAAGCACATACATACATTTTTACATTTTCTATGTAAATAAATAGTTTAATACATCATTTTATAGTCTACAACATAAAATATACATTTACACATAATACCCATATGTTTATATGTAAAAATTTTAAACTTTTCATTAAAAAAATTTAATTATTTCATGAATCAAATATAAAAACTAAAAAAACTGTCACGAAAGTATTGTAATTTACATTCCAAGCGCCCTGGCATTCATAAAATAATTAATCACTCGGCTTATCGCATTGTGCATTCCGAGAAATTGTTATGTTTATCATTTTGTTATCAAGAAAAATATCAATTTCTTATCAATAGAAGCACATAACTGATAAACTTTATCAAATAATATTAATTTAATTGCGTATTTGATATTTTTATTAATTAAAGCAATTAAATACGTAAAAAAACAATTTATTTTAAACAAATTTCATTTATTAATGAAATTTTAATTTTTTTCCACTCTAAATATCAATTTCTCTTAATAAAACATTAATTAAACACAAAAAATCGAAAAATTTTAATTTTAAATTCCAAAAGTTTAAAATTCTTACCTTCAATAACAGAATTAACTCTATCCAAGTTCGCCAGCGTGATGGGCAGAGGATCAGCACTCAGAAACACGTCAATATTCAAATCCTTTAGTAGTTTCCCATGCTTCGCCGCATCTTTGGGCTTCCTGCCCAGAAAGACCGCCGAATATCTGGGTCGCACCACTTGCCGACACCGGCGTCCTTCGCCGCGTCTCAAAGCTTTCCCCACACGCAGAATTTCCTGCCCGGCGAGCACTCCCGGATCTTTAAAATGTCTCTTAACAACCACATCAAATAATAATATGGGTTGTTTCCGGCGTCCGTCCGCACGCTTCACACTTTCGACACTTTCTTTATCAACACGCACGCGTCTCCGCTCGAGATTCCCGAGAACTTTTGCGGAGAAGACAAAATCTGCGCGATTGATTGCATCACGAAGTGCTGATGGATTTTCCAACGAATCTTGCTTACAATACGGAGCGTATCGGAGAGAATGACGAAGTGGTTCATTGTTTTTTGATGATAATATCGTCACAAACTGTGTAGTATAAATAATTAGAGTAAGTTTAAGAATATTTTTTATAAAATGCATTTTTTTAGTTTGGAAAATATTTATAATTTTAAATTTGGTTTATATTTGGCTTAAGTTAAGTGCTAGGTGCGTTTGACTTAAGTCAAAGTTTAAGTTTGCGTAAGACTTTGGTGGGGACGCGACCGTTCAAGGAGAAACCGCGCTTGCAACTGACTTAAACTCCAGATCATCATGACTTAAGTAGAGTTAACTTCTCTTATTCTCACTCCAGGTTATAAGACGTTTTGTTTTATTTATTTACTAGTTTTAACCCGCGGCTTTGCTAGCGAATATCTAAAATAATGAAGTTGCTTCCGTACGCGTCTGTAGTCACCGAAGAAGTAACAATGAAGTAGAATGGCGGGAAGTTTAAAATGGCTGAAAGTATAGTCTATGGAAGCATAGTGTACAGTCTCCATAGTGTAGTCAATTGGATTTGATGTTGACGTAGCTGTCGGTAATACAGTGTGATAATACAGTGTGATGGTACTATAGTACTTAGGTTTGAGCTTCATTGCTGGAATGCTAGATGGCGTTAAAGTAGTCAAATAGCCAGATGCAGACGTATTATTGGCTAAACTATTTCTTTATTTTATTTAAAAAATAATTTTTTTATTAAATAAAAAGTAGCCTATAACCATTCGGGGACCAATAAGAATATGTGTACAAATTTTCATGATGATCTGTTAGGTAGTTTTTGCGTGAAAGTGTAACAAACATCAGGACTTTCGCATTTATAATATTAGTAGGGATTAGCAACTATTAATATAATAATTTTATCTGTGATTCTAAAAAGTTAGAAGCTTGAAAAATTTGATCATTTGAAAGCTCTGAAAGCTCCATACAAGTTTAGAAAATAAATGCAGTTGCAATACATAAAAAACGCGTCGCCGGTGATGTCTGCAAATGTTTCCAGGCTTTCGTGAAAGCACAAGCGAACAAGCTGTGATAACGCCAGACATTGTTAGGCATTCAATCGAAAGCTCGTTCCAGTCGCACGCTTTTGTATTACATTATAACATTGTTCCATCGGAATTGACATTGAATTATACAGTGTGGTTAGAAAAATTAATTCAACGTAATTAAATTAAATTAAATGGTTTCATAAAAAATGTTGTTATTTTTTTTTAATCAAGTGTAATAATTAACTAATTATATAAAAAATATTGATTATTCTGATATATCACGTTTTATTAGTTAATTAATATGTAAATATTGTCTTTATTAACAAAATAAAAAAGTGTTTGCACCGGAGACTTAATGCAGAATCCAGTAGTAAGTATAATTAATTAATTAAAATCTGTGTTTATATAAATTATAATATCTGCAATGTAGTGTATATTATAGTCTGGTAAAAAGTTTTATCAGTGTTCTAACAGGAATTTATTTTTCTAGCTTTACATACACAAAATTTAAAAAAAATAAAAAATTTACATTAATAATAATAATTTTTAAAAAAATTGTATTCCAACTATAAATTTATATATACATTCGTACAAATCAAGTAAAAATCTTAAAATTAAATAGGAATTAATTTAGATTAATTTGACATGATTCTCTCAAAAGCTTGCACGAGGACAAGATAGTTGTGATTTATGTAGTTGATGAACGTGGTATGGTGGTGTGTTGGTATTTTCTCGCCTTGATTGTAGTTTGATATTTTATCAACAATTTGAAGGTGAACTTGAGATGCCTCCGTTGATAACATGTTATAGCCTGTTTTATCAATTGTCTCAACGTCACTTGTATTTTGTAACAATTGTTGCATAAAATTAAGATGGATTTGCAGTGATGTCCACTGAGGATATGTTTTGTTTTCAATTAATTTCTTATTGTCATATGCATACTTTGTTTCCATTTGTCCATGTAGAATATCAAATATTTTTTTAATTGATTCCATTGTTGCATATATTTTTTCAACATAAATATCCAAGTTTAAATTGGTAATAGATTTTAAACATTCTTCAACAACATGTGTGAAATTTAATAATTTTGCTGTGATTGCAAAATGCGCTAAAAGTATTGCACACATTAATGATGTACAATTATGTAGTTTTGATAAATTGGCATTATCAATCTTCTCTATAAAATTTTGTACAATATTATAAAGTTTTTCACTGGACGCCCAAAATAACATTGTATAGTTTTGAAGTGTTCCGCTGGTATTTTCACTATATGTCAGCAAGTTATTTACTAATTCTGAATAATTTTTTAATGAGATTTCTATCAGATGGCCTTCTTTGTTATATATAAGTTCTTGTGTAATACTAGAATATCCTCGATCCTTTGCCAACGTCAATGCGGTGTGGTTATGCTTGTTAACAATATAGACATCTGCTTTATTTTTCAGCAGTTCTTGAACAATTTTAAGATGACCTTTCATTGATGCCCAAATCAATGCTGTGTCGCCACTTTGATTAACAATATTCACATCTGCTTCATTTTGAAGCAGTTCTTGAACAATTTCAAGATGACCGTGCCATGATGCCAAAATCAATGCTGTGTTGCCACTTTGATTAACAATCTTCACATCTGCTTTATTTTTCAGCAGTTCTTGAACAATTTCTAAATGACCATTGATTGATGCCAAAGTCAATGCTGTGTCGTCAAATGTACCAACCATATTCACGTCTGCTTTATTTTGAAGCAGTTCTTGAACAATTTCAAGATGACCTTTGTGCGATGCCCATATCAACGCTGTATTGCCCCATCTACCAGTTGCATTGACATTAACTTTCTGTTTTAATAGTGATTGAACTTCTTCTAGTCTTCCAGCTTTTGATGCTTTCAACAATTTCTCAGCCATATTTGATCAGAACAAAATCTTGAAACCAATATAAGATAATTTCAGTTGTTAATAAAAGTAGTTAATATAGTTTTAAAATTAAATAATTAGACTTTTCGTTGAATAACTTACTAGATTAGTCAGTGGCAATACACAACTCACAATGTTTCGATTGCTCAGTGCCATTTCAATTTATATCCATTTTTGATGTTTGTTCAAGTAGGGATATCCGTTGCAATTTTATTGTTTGAATTACATTTGTAGAATCCATGTTTAGAAACTTATCAATAATTTTATCGAATTCAAGTGGGTTGTTTATTAAAAATTTGGATTATATATATTTACTAGTTAACCCGGCAAACGTTGTTTTGCCATATAAATTATTTTTAGTTTCTAGATAAATTCTAGTGTAGACAAAAAGTAACTTACATATTATACGTGTGTAAGTATGTAAAACTTGATTAACTGAACTAATCGTGCCAAGTATACTTGAAATTAATAATTTTATTATCTATATATATAAAATTTGCGTGTCACAGTGTTTGTTTCCATACTCCTCCGAAACGGCTTTACCGATTTTTACCAAATTTTATATGCGTATTCAGTAGGTCTGAGAATCGGCTAACATCTATTTTTCATACCCCTAAGTGATAAGGGTTGTTCACCCTTAACTTTTTTTAAAATTTTTGGACAAATTCTTTTGTTTTTATTTTTTTTTATAATGTGGAATTAAAAAATACATACAACCCTAAATTTTTAGTTTTTTATCACCAACCCCTATTTCTTTATAGCCATTTTAGTAATTTAATCATTTTTCATCCCGCCCAAAGAAAATGTTGCGTATGCGTATGCAGTAGGTCTGAGAATCGGCTACTATCTATTCTTCATACTCCTAAGTGTTGTTCACCCTTAATTTTTTTAAAATTTTGGACTAAAAAAATTTGTTTCTATTTTTTTTATAATGTGGCATTAAAAAATACATACAACTCTAAATATTTGCTTTTTTATTACCAATCTCTATATTTTTATAGCCATTTTGGTAATTTAATTTTTTTTTCATCCCGCTCGAAGGAATGAGACTGAAGTCGGTCTCCTGTTTCACTCACACAATAAGACTTCTCTCACTCCCTTCACAGTTTTCGGCCATCATTATGGTATATGTATCAAGTGTAGTAGTAACGTTTACAATTATCATATTGCTATCTCAGTGTAGCTCTCATATTAACTATTAATTATTACTGTTTTATTCATAACTAGCGGACCCAACAGACTTCGTTCTGTTAAAAAATTAAATAAAAGAATAACAAAAAATTTAGTCCAAAATAAAAATAAATAAGGGTGAAGAACTCTTATCACTTAGGGCTATGAAAAATTCTATTCCTATTCCAACTATAAATTTATATATACATTCGTACAAATCAAGAAAAAATCTTAAAATTAAAATCTTAAAAATCTTAATTAGATATTAATTTAAATTAATTTGACATGATTCTCTCAATAGCTTGCACGAGGACAAGATAGTTGTGATTTATGTAGTTGATGAACGTGGTATGGTGGTGTGTTGGTATTTTCTCGCCTTGATTGTAGTTTGATATTTTATTAACAATTTGAAGGTGAACTTGAGATGCCTCCGTTGATAACATGTTATAGCCTGTTTTATCAATTGTCTGAACGTCACTTGTATTTTGTAACAATTGTTGCATAAAATTAAGTTGGCTCTGTAGTGATGTCCACTGAGGATTTGTTTTGCTTTCATTTGATTTCTTAATGTCATAAGCATACGTTGTTTCCATTTGTCCATGTAGAATATCAAATGCTTTTTTAATTGATTCCATTGTTGCATATATTTTATCACCAATAATATCCAAGTTTAAATTAGTAATAGATTTTAAACATTCCTCGACAACATGTGTGACATTTAATAATTTTGCAGCGATTGCAAAATGCGCTAAAAGTATTGCACACATTATTGATGTACATTTATGAAGTTTTGATAAATTGGCTTTATCGTTTTTCTCTATAAAATTTTGTACAATATTATAAAGTTCTTCACTGGACGCCCAAAATAACATTGTATAGTTTTGAAGTATTCCGCTGGTATTTTCACTATATTGCAACAATTTATTTACTACTTCTGAATAACTTTTTAGTGCGGTTTCTATCAGATGGCCTTCTTTATAATATATTTTTTTAAGTTCTTGTATAATAGTAAAATATCCTCGATCCTTTGCCAACGTCAATGCGGTGTGGTTATCCTTGTTAACAATATTGACATCTGCTTTATTTTTCAGCAGTTCTTGAACAATTTTAAGATGACCTCTCTTTGATGCCGACAACAATGCTGTGTCGCCACTTTGATTAATAATATTCACATCTGCTTCATTTTTCAACAGTTCTTGAACAATTTCAAAATGACCGAAGCATGATGCCAACATCAATGCTGTGTCGCCACATTGATTAAAAATATTCACATCTGCTTTATTTTTCAGCAGTTCTTGAACAATTTCTAAATGACCATTGATTGATGCCAAAATCAATGCTGCGTCGCCACATGGTTCAACAATATTTACATCTGCTTCATTTTGAAGCAGTTCTTGAACAATTTCAAGATGACCTTCGCAAGATGCCAAAATCAATGCTGTGTTGCCACTTTGATTAACAATCTCCACATCTGCTTTATTTTGAAGCAGTTCTTGAACAATTTCAAGATGACCATTGATTGATGCCGAAGTCAATGCTGTGTCGCCAAATGTACCAACCATGTTCACGTCTGCTTTATTTTTCAGCAGTTCTTGAACAATTTCAAGATGACCTTTGATTGATGCCCGCATCAATGCTGTGTCGCCACTTTGATTAACAATATTCACATCTGCTTCATTTTTCAGCAGTTCTTGAACAATTTCAAGATGACCTTTGATTGATGCCCAAATCAATGCTGTGTTGCCACTTTGATCAACAATATTCACATCTGCTTCATTTTGAAGCAGTTCTTGAACAATTTTAAGATGACCTTTGATTGATGCCCAAATCAATGCTGTGTCGCCACTTTGATCAACAATATTCACATCTGCTTCATTTTGAAGCAGTTCTTGAACAATTTCAAGATGACCTTTGATTGATGCCCAAATCAATGCTGTGTTGCCAAATTGATTAACAATATTCACATCTGCTTCATTTTGAAGCAGTTCTTTTACAATTTTAAGATGACCATTGCTTGATGCCCTCATCAATGCTGTGGTGCCAAATTGACCAACAATATTCACATCTGCTTCATTTTTTAGCAGTTCTTGAACAATTTTAAAATGACCATTGATTGATGCCAATATCAACGCTGTATTGCCCCATCTACCAGTTGCATTGACATTAACTTTCTGTTCTAATAGTGATTGAACTTCTCCTAGCCATCCAACTCTTGATGCTTTCAACAATTTCTCAGCCATATTTGATCAGAACAAAATCTTGAAACCAATATAAAATAAATTTCAGTTGTTAATAAAAGTAGTTAATATAGTTTTAAAATTAAATAATTAGACTTTTCGTTAAATAACTTATTAGATTAGTCAGTGGTAATACACAACTCACAATGTTTCGATTGCTCAGTGCCATTTCAATTTATATCCATTTTTGATCTTTGTTCAAGTAGGGATATCCGCTGCAATTTTATTGTTTGAATTACATTCGTAAAATTCAATGTTTAGAAACTTATCAATAATATTATCGAATTTAAGTGGGTCGTTTATTAAAAATTTGGATTATATATATTTACTATTACATAAGTGTAATTTATAAGCGATATGAGATATATAGTAACCTGTTAACAGTTATCACCTTTTTGGAATTCCCGGTATACTCTACCCAAGTATTGCAAATATCTGTACTTTAGAGTATTTCATCAGCGTAGTTCACATAGGTATGATAAGGTAATTTTATACAATTTAATAATCTTTTTAATGTTTTAATTGTGCAATGCAATTCAATTTCAAAGTAAATGCGACATAAACACAATTTTTGATTATAATTTTATAAAACTTTATATAAATCAGTTAAATATCTTTTTTACTTCCAACGACATGATAGCAACAAACAAGATACTCCTGATTTTGTTTATTTCGGAGGAAGATTGAAACAATGTATTCATCTGTAGTCAAATCCTCAAAGTAATAAAAGGATATTGATTTTTATGTACACGTTGCCATCTGACGGAGAATTTCCTACTTTTCTGGCTACTGCAGCTAAACGCAGAGCTTTCCACACAATTACAGATTTTCACATTTTGTGTTCTAACCGTGAACAAATGCTGCTAGATGCTGCTCATAGTATTATTTATTTACTACTTGTATAACTGTAATATATGAATAAGCTGTTTTTACTGCCTAAAACAATTATTTACAAATATAAATATCTTGAAATAACTCAAGGTTACAAACAAAGCATATGAACAAAAAAATTAAAGAACCAGCGGGTATTTGCATCGGGCGTTGTGCGCGCAATAACATATTCATTGTTTTAATATCGCCATCAAGCGGAAAAACTTCATAAATCAATTCTATCAAATTATCACTCTGGAAAAACCTAAAAATAGAATGCTCCAAGCACAAATACATTGTTCATTACTTCATCGATCATCTTTTGGCCTATAAAACAAATCATAAAAAGACTCGACACGACAATTGCAAAAACAACAAAACATTACAGTTGAAAATGGATCAGAAACGTATGAATCGAAACAGCAGCCACCAACGGCGTAGTTACTACGTGAATTATAAATAAACATTTGATAACTGTGTAATAATCATTATATAAACTAAAAAAGATAAAATTAAAAAAAATTTGCTCCGCCCATATGTGTAATGCGCATGCGCGATAGCCACGCCTTAAAAAATATTAAAATGTTGATGTCTTTCGCTAAAACCAAACAATTTCCCTCAACAACTGAATATTTAATGAGTTTGTTAAGCCTTTTAGCACTAAAACAATAATAGTTTATAGTAAGTGTTAACGTTGATGACTAAATCATCCCCTAAACAATAATACAATATATAAATCTATCTCGTAGCTAAATAATGACCGAATTGCAGATGCAAATTACGTAATTATTAATTCAACTTGATTTGCCTGTATTTACCCTTATTTTGTATAATTTAGCGTTTTCAAGCCTTAAATTCACAATGCGCGTTGTTTGTATCTGAAAGTAAGCGCTGTCGCCGGATCAATTTAATTAACTGATGCATTACTTATGATGCTGGACTTCACATTGTTGTCTCATGTTTTATTCAGCCTAATTGGCGATATTAACAAATTAACCGTGTGAAAATTTAATGCGCAGCGTCGAAAAATAATCCCGGCAATTTCTATAAATTGCACACACGTGAATGTTTTTTGTTTTCACTGAGCGATCTGACTTCTTCTTTTTTTTGCAGAAACAAAAAAGTTTGAAAGTTGTTTGAAGATAGAGAACAAGGGTTGTGGAAAAAGTGCGCGCAAAGTGTTTGTGTGTTCATTAGGGAAGTTGTCGCAAACTTTTCAGCGGCTGGGCGGCGCCGAAAAGTAAATCTTGTGTCGGAAAGTCTCGCGCTAATGATTGAAAATAGTTGACAGTTTTTGCAAAGTTTTGCGGGTGAAAAAATTGTCATTAAACTTTTATCGTCGTAAACTAAGTGTTGGCAAAAGTTTTTAATTCGACAATAAAACACGTTATTATTATTAAATCATAAAAATTTTATCCTTGGGTATTAGTTAATTAAGTTTTATTTTTATTATCAAGCTTTAATACACCAAAATTTAATTTTTCCATAAAAATATTCAAAATATTTTATTTCTTTAAGTTTATTACGTAAATTATACAAACACCCTGTATAAATTTACTTGATGCTATTATCGATTAAACACGCTTTTAATTAACGCTAAATTTGTTAGTTTATCTTTAGTAGTTATTGAGTAATTGCGCTTCAAAATAAAGCAATCAACTAAAAACGTTTCCTGTGTTAAATATAGAGTGGAGGCGCCGGGCTAGCATTGTAAATCCGTATCTCCATGTGCAACACACGCGACTTTGACGCAACGACAAAAATAAAGTTGTTTGCCGATAATTCTCCAACAATTTGATTAATTTACGTGAAACACTTGGTGGTGTCGATAAGAAACGGAAACTAGCGATGGCAAACAAGCCGCCGGGGCGAAGTTCGCGCCCGCTTTGCATTGCAAATCGCTCGACGAAAATTACCGCACGCGGAACTTAATTAGAAACTTTTGCGGCAGCGTGAATTTTTGCGGTTATTAATATTTAATTCATTAAACCGCCCGCCGGCAAACAAATACTTGTCGAGTCAACTCATCCGGGAGCCATGCGCGAAGAAAAACGAGCCTCGAGTCAAAAGAGGCAAAACGTCAAACAAAACTTGGGGCGTTCCGCAACTCAAGCGCTTAGATTTGTTTTGCAAAGTTTAGATGGAAAGCTCGAGCGTAATTAATTGTTACATTCAAGCAAAACAAAAGAATTAGGCAATTTTTTTTGTATTTGTGAAAAGTAAACATTTCATTTTGAATTTAAATTATTTATATCTAATTAGATAACAAAAGGAATTTAATCATAAAACCAAAAAAAATATTAAAATCAACTTAAATATTCTGTACATAAATTTTATTTTAAACAAAAATTATTTTATTGTGATAAATTTTATTCTAAAATTGAATTCATACATCAAAACGTAAAAAATTCGAAAGTTAACGCAATAAAAAATAAACAAAAAATATTACGCGATGTAGAATTTAAGCAGCTGTGCACCGCCGCCGTTTTCATCCCCGTGGTCAAAAAATTACGCGCCCGAGACAAAGTTTTCCAAGTCGTAAGCCAATAAACTTATAAACAAGTTGTCCGACGTTCGAAACGTCCAAAACGCATGTTGGAATCGTCTAAATCGTGTTTTTATCCCGCCGCCAACCGCCTCCGTCGAAATAGCTGCTGGTGGGGAGCTTTCCACGCTGCGCGCCAGCTTCACTTCGCTGTTTCGGACAGTCGATAACGCGGCGTCGTACCGGTCGGTCGGTGCAAGCATCCTACACGTTTCTACCGCCCCCGATAAAATAAAACACATTTTACATTTCATCACTGATAATAAACACAAAATTTAAGTTTGAAAATGTTTTTAGAGATGTTTAAGTAAAATTTAAATAAAATTATTGAGTAATATTTAATTTACGTAGTGTGTATTGTCGGAGGCGGCGTTTCCGGGTGCCATGCGGGTTCAGTGTCCTAGCGCGTTATCCTAGTCCTAGTTTTGTAGCGGTGTGCATTCGGACCAGTGAACTTTCACAATCGGAGTGACATTATCCATCAGATTTATTCAAATTAGGTGAATATTGTCTAGTATTTATGATAAATACCGTAATATATTTCCCTATTTACTCTAAAATCAAATAAAACCTTATTTATTTATGCGTGACATAACCTTAAATAACAAAATGCTTTTATGTGGCATTGGAAATATATTTTTGTGTATTTTTTGCGCGTATTGTGCACTTGTAAACTCAAAACGAGAAAAATTCGTAATGAAAAGCCTCCGCGTGTTTCCGTCTTCTTTTGGTTCTTTTTCCGCCGCCTCCCCCGGCTGCTGCTCGCACCGCAAGTTGTTAAACATGAAAGAAAGTCGCTTGAATTTGGTATTCCGAGTCCATCGTCCGTCGGAGTGCATTTACGAAGAAAGTCGGCCCTCCTTGCGGCCCCTTTTGCACTCCTGCCCTGCTCCTTTTTCGTTATGAAGACGGCGGTGGTGTGGTGGTGGTGGTGGTGGTGTCGTCGTTGGCGCGTCGACTTTAATGGGATAAGCCGGCGTTCGTTTTTCATCATTATTTGCGCGTTCCCTTTATTCGTCCTCGTTCTCGTTTGCGTCCTCGTCCTGTAAACGCAATATCCTTTGCATGGAGCAGTGTAAACTTTGATAAGTGATCTGAGTAATGTGATTTTGGGAATTATGAAGTGCGGACGAAGTGTTTGCCGATGGGTGGTTGGGTTGTTTGGGAGCTTATTGTCGCGCAAGGAAATGGGTTGGAAGAGTGAAACAAGGTTTTGTCGGCAGAAGTCGTCGGGAGATAAATGTCGAGACTTTGTGGAGTTTTTTGTTAACATGGGGTTTTTGGGAAAGTTGAGGTTTAAATCAAAATATTTTGAATTGGCTTACAATGTCGAAGTTTTTTTTTTGAACAATGTAAAATCTTTTCGTAAATATAAAAGTTTTTAATTAAAAATTCAATAAAAAAATTAATTATTAAAAATTATAATCTTAAATGGAAACATTAATCCTTAAAAGTTAAATCTGCGTTTTAACGCAAAAAATCACATAAAAACGAGAAAATTTTGGATAAAAAATGCAAAAAATGTTTAAAAAACATTAATGTACCAAATATAAAACAGAAACCTTTAGAATTTTAGGCTTTTTATTTTTATTTTTATAAAACATTGAAAAAATCATTAATTTTTAACAACTTTTTAAATAATTTATCAAATAATTGTTTTTTTAACTTAATATTATTTTATGCTCAATTAATACAAAATATTTTATTGATTGTAAAATATAAATACAATATTTTTAGCAATTATCTAGTTGAACAACGCTATAAATAATTTTTGCGCAGGTTTAAAAGCTACATAAACTTTAAACCATGCGCAAATATTGTTTCGATAAAAAATTTAATCATTTCAATTTTATAAAAATAAAAAGAACTAACAATTCAATTTGCTATTTTAAAAATAATTGGATTGTAAATTCCATATGTTGTTAATTTTTGCTTAAAAGCAAATATAAAAACAGCACAAAAATAATGTGAAACTTTGCGTTATATAAATTTTAACAATGCGATTACAGTTTTATATAAATATATAAATACATAAAGTTATTATAATTTAAACTTGTATTATAATTAATTAAAACTTATATAATACACACAGCTCACTATTTAATATTGATAAATGTAATCTGCTTATCTGTGACTGTTTTATGCAATAATTTAATCAATAATATTACTTAAGTTAATTAAATGTGGAATTAAATATAAAACCGCCTATTCTGCTCAAAATAAAATCAAAAACAAATTTTAATTCTAAAAAACTTTGAAGTAAATAAAATAGAATCACATAGAAAAATTTATACAGTTTTTCCTCGGGTAGTTTTCACGTTAGATGCAACAATATCCAACATTCAATTTTCTGATATGACCGGCTCAAACACACCGCATAAAAAGTGTAAATTTCTGCGCAAATGGAAGACGCAAAAAGCTCTCGTTGTGCGAAATATCCCTATTGGAAAAGGCGAAAGATAAACCGAGAGCAAATGGAAAAATTGGAATCAAGATTTATAGCATTTCGCCGTTCGGAGCACTTTTGTGCACTCCGGCGTGCGCACAACAAAAAAAAAAAACGCAGAAAAAAAACGCCAGCGCTTATTCAGCGCGAAACGCAAACAAACACGCGAGTTAAATAAAAATCCGTTACCGAAGGATCTCCAACGCCGCGCAATGGCCGGTGTAGCGCATTCAACACACAACATTCTGCCCGGCGCCTCCACACGCTACTACTGCAGGCAAAAAAAAACCTCCAGCGCCGGCACGTTTTTAATCAAAAAAACAAAACAACAGCGCGAGATTCAATTCGTTTTCAATTTTTGATGCCGCAGATAGAATCCACGTGTACATCTACAGTATTTTTAAATTATCCTTGTGAGGAAATTAAATCGATAACGCTTTTTATTTCTTGTTGCAGATAAAATGTGAATTCCACCAGGATAAAATAATTAAATGTGAAAATAAAAAAACTATGTGGAAGAAGAAATTGTCCGGCAGCAGGACAAAAGCGTCCTGGCCGCATTATGCGTTTGTGGGCGGCGTGTCGCTCGTCTGCTATCTCAACGGTCTGCATGGCGAGTTTGTTCACGATGACATTCCGGCTGTTGTCCTCAACAAGGACGTCTTGGCTGTGAATCCTTTGATGGACGTTTTCGACAATGATTTCTGGGGCACGCCGATGGCTGATCTGCATAGTCATAAATCATATCGGCCGTTAACAACACTAACATTCAGGTATGTTTAAGTTTGGTTAGGTTGCACAATGTGAGGTTATGTTAGGTCATGTTTGATTAAATTAACTTTTTCGTTTAATTCCCTTGAAAATATCGTTCGATAAATTGCCCCGCTGTGCAACACTCTCGAAAAGTTTTCGCAGGACTGTTGCCATTGTTTCGCGCAGGAAGCAAAAGGATGGCGTGTGCGCACATTTGCATATTTTCCGAAGGTTCGCCTCTGGTCGAGCGCGCCGCGCAAATGTAATTTGCTCGCCGGATCATTTTCGGGAAACTCGCAGGAATTTGAACAATTTTTTGCAGCGCAGGATAATTCATAAAAGACCATGCATCCGGTGTGACTATTTTTATTTTTATGTAGAGTTGCCCGGTTTAGTTTGGTTAATGTGACGGTAAAAAAATAACTAAACTGAAACAAAAGTTTTTTCGTCTGCAAAAAATAAAAACTAAAATTAAATGAGATTTAAGAGTTTTTATATTATTCTATAGTAAAATAATAGTCGGTGGTGTTATTCTACAGCGGTATTTTAATATTTTAAATTGTTTAATTTAAAAATAAAGAATAACGGGTGAAAAATTCGATTTTAAATTGTACTTTATTATGCGAGCACAAATTTATATATTTATTAACGCCAACTAAAAAAACACGCTGTTTGTAATCCTGGAAAGCCAAGCAAAATAATAATAATAATAAAAAAACCGTGGACGAATTCAATCATTCCAGCAGCGATTCGGAGATTTTCGCGGATTTTCCGCTGCTTTAATATTTATTTTTCATTAAATTTGCGAGCGCGTATTGTCGCAGACGGGCATTGTGCTCGCCGGACTAAAACCAATAATCCTTTTTCGCCCGTCCGGCCGCGCTCGCTTTTTTTGTGTGTTATTTTATTTTGCCGCCACTTTCCTCATCTTTGCGCGCGCGCGCGCTCCGCGGAAGACATAAATTGCGCATTCCGGCTTTTGTGGACTGTTTTATACGTCGCCCGTTGCATTGTATGTGCGTCCGAAACGCGTCGGCGGGGCGGAGAAGAAAAGAGACGAGGCATGCACGAAAATAAAATAAAAAAATAAAGGAAGACGTGCGAATCACCGGGCGATAAAAAAAAGTTATGGATTTGGATCTAATCCGTTTTGTGGCCTTAGCCACACGGTCACGGGGATTTGTCACGCGTTCACTTATCTTATCAACGTTGCCAACAATTGAAAATTTTGAGGTTAACTTAGGTTATGTCAATAAATGACAATCTAAGGTTATGTTAAGCATTTCTCTACATTTTTCTACATTAAATTCATTAAAATTAAAGAAATCTGTAAAAATATTACAGAAACCTGTAATTTTGCTACATAAAATATTTACAGAAACCTACAAAACATTTTTCTACACTACGTATAATTTAGTACTGAATAAATAATATACTTTAATGCCTAGACACATAAATACTTATACAACCCCTAAAACTACTATTTCTAACATGTTTACTTTGCCCTTTCTGTAAAATTAATTAATTTTGAAATTTATTTATTTTCCAGAGCAAATTACTTAATGGTAGGATTAAACCCCTTCTGGTTCCACCTGACGAATGTCCTCCTCCACACATTGGCAACACTGCTCTTCACGCGGGTATGTTTACACGTGGCATGTCTCCGGCCGGCATTTGCCACCCTCGCAGGACTAATGTTTGCCGTGCATCCGATACACACCGAAGCGGTAAGTTAAACTCTCTTACTCTTTCACCCCCTTTATTATAATAATCCACCCTAAATTACGCTAATATCTATCTTATTGATGTCATCCGTAACTGATGAAAGCGTATCTGATATCTCTATATCCGGTTGGTTTTGTTTCGCCCTGTGTTGACTGCGTTGTTCAACTTCGCGTTAATCCAATAACGAGCCACGAGCGAAAGACAGCCGAGTGACGCTTAGCGAAATTCGGCGGATTGACAGCGGGGCGCGCACGCTAACGGATATCCTTCGGGAATGCATCGACGACGAAGGATAACGAAGGATGTGCGCTTGTCTAACATACAATGTTGTGTTGTGTATTGTTGTGTTTCAACATTCGTGCGGAATTGTGTTTCTTGTTAAAGTTAGGTTATGATTCAAAAATATACAGGGTGTTTAAAATATTTAAAAAAACATTTTTTTAATTTTATAGGTGACTGGAGTTGTGGGGCGTGCTGATGTTCTCGCATGTGTTTTCTTTCTGTTATCACTTCTTGCATATCACGGGTAAATTTAAAAAAAATGTTTTGTGGATTTTATATTTATGAAAATATTTTTTGACAGTTCGGAAAAGTGTTATCTCTGGTCGAGTATCCTCACCGGCGGTCTGAGCATCCTTGCAAAGGAGACCGGCATCACCGTGTTCCTAGTCAACGTGATTTTCGATTTTTATCGAGGTTTTCCACACATACGCAGGTCCGTAATAAAATAAATATAAAATAGAATATAGAAAAGTTTAAAAGTAAACGCAATTTATAACATTCGTCGAGTTGATAAATGACGCTGGGGATTTCGGTGTCCTTTTTTATGATTTTGCTCATCAGGTCGAGCCTGGACGTGCGATGGTCGACGGAAACGCGGCAATTCGTCAAGCGCACAGCGATCGTCCTTACTTCGGTAAATAAACACTCACGCACACAGACACACACACATGCATACACATGAGAATAATATTTTTTTCCTCGCTGGATGTGTGTTTGTATGTATGTGTTATGTGTGAGTTCCCAAAGCTCGTTGTCGAAATCCCGCCCGGATGTGTCGAGTCCTGACGCCCTCTTGTATTTTTCATGCAGTGCGGAATTTTGATCGCGATCAGATTGGCGCTGCTGCAGGGTTCGTTGCCGAGATTTTCCCAGGGGGATAATCCTGCCGCGTTTCATCCGTCCCTGCTCGTCAGGTCAGTATAAATTTATATCATCTATAAACTTTTATTTTTTGCGAGAGTTTTACTGAATTTTGAACAAAAACAAAAGTACAGTGATTGAGTTGCGGTATAAGAACAGAACGTAGGGTTTTCTATGTTCGGTAGTTATACTATAACTCAAAAATGTGTTTTCAATCAATTTTTACTTTTTTTGCAAAAATTTTACTCAATTTTGAACAAAAAACAAATTACAATGATTGAGTTGCGGTATAAGAACAGAACGTAGGGTTTTCTATGTTCGGTACTTATACCGTAACTCAATAAATGTATTTTTTATAAATTTTTATTTTTTATGCAAAAATTTTACTCAGTTTTGAACAAAAAACGAAATACAATGATTGAATTGTAATATAAAAACAGAACGTAGGGTTTTCTATGTTCGATAGTTATATTTAAACTCAAAAGTGTATTTTCTATCAATTTTTACTTTTTATTGCAAATGTTTTACTCAATTTTGAACAAAAACGAAATTACAATGATTGAGTTGTGATATAAAAACAGAACGTAGGGTTTTCTATGTTCGATAGTTATATTTAAACTCAAAAATGTATTTTCTAACAATTTTTACTTTTTTGCAAAATTTTTAGTGAATTTTGAACGAAAAATAAAATACAATGATTGAGTTGTGATATAAAAACAGAACGTAGGGTTTTCTATGTTCGATAATTATACTGAAACTCAAAAATGTGTTTTCTGTATATTTATATTTTTTTTGCAAAAAAATACTGAATTTTTAAGAAGAAAATGAAAACATCGATTGTGTTGTGATATAAAAACGGAACGTAGGGTTTCCTATGTTCGGTACTTATACCGTAACTCAAAATACGTGCTTTTTATGTTCAAAAAGTACATGGAAAATAAAAAAGTTTTTATTAGGTCTAAGTAGGCAAAATAAAGTACTGAATATAGTGGATATTTAAAGATTTAAAAAATTGAAAGGAGCGGCATAAAAAGCCCGAATTATGATGCTAATGTCGTAGAGGGCAGCAGCAAATTTGCATGAGTTTCGCGTCTCGTAATTTAAGACGTTTTATGGCACTGGCGTACGCGAAATAAAAAATACAGCAAAAAATATAAAGGTCCTCGGCGCGCACGAAAATCTTTTATTTAAGGACGCAGTTCTGGAATTCTACAATTTCAACATTTCCACAATTTCTTCCGCTCCGCGTGTCCCACGCGATGTGAAATAAAAATGCCGCTCGTCCTTGTTCCGCGCCGAAATTCCCCGATGTCCCGAAGATGCAATTTGTCAACGTGCAATATTTAAAATTTCATTTTGAGCGCCCGGATAACGCGTGATGCAACATTTATCTCTGCGTTGGCATATGCACCCCAATTGCACTTGTTTCGATGGGGGTTGTGTGGGTGGTGGGCGCCAGAAGGATAAATCATAAATGTGTGTGCTCTGCTCTCTTTTTTTGCGTGCTGGCATGCAGGATAATGACGTTCTCGTATCTGGCGGCCTTCAACTGGTGGTTATTGATCTGCCCGGCGAACCTGTCGCACGACTGGCAGATGGGCTCCGTCCCGCTGGTCACGCACGTCGCCGACGCGCGGAATCTCGTCACGTGCCTCTTCCTTGCTGCCGCCGTCGCGCTGCTGGTGAAGAGCGCCGCCGACGCGGAGGCACGTATAATTATCTCGCACGCTTTTATTGCCGCATGAAATTAAGTTATTTGAGGGATTCCAGGGGTTTTTTCTTCTTTTTTTGCGTGTGCACGGTTTAATTACATAATTACACGTTTTTCTCATTTGTTGATAAGTTTATTTATTATTTGTGAAGGTATTATTAGCTATTAAAGTTTATTAAATTAATTTTTCTTAAATTTTTACTTTTTTTTTTAAATTTTTAGCAAAAAACTAAAATAAAACTTTAATTTTTTGATTTTCAGAAACAAAAACACGTTACTGTTGTTCTTGGTTTAGTCCTCCTTGTTCTACCATTTCTACCAGCAACGAATTTGGTGGTAACTGTTGGATTTGTTATTGCTGAACGAGTTTTATATATTCCAAGGTATTAAAAAATATTTTTAAAATTTTTTAAATCCGATTAAAACTTTTAATTTTTTTTAAAATTTTAATGCGTTTATGTTTAAAACATGAAAAGTTGAAAAAAAATAATCACGTTATAATTTACAGCATAGGATTTATTTTACTGACGGTAAACGGATTTCAAACCTTGTGGTATTCGTCGATAAAACATCGCCAAACTTTAGCCTCCTTCCTGCTGCTACTGATCGTCGCGCAAACGTGGCAGTGTGTGGCGAGGAACAAGGATTGGCGGTCGCGTGAATCCCTGCTCAGGGCCGGACTCCGCACATTACCGCACAACGCCAAAATGCACTATAACTTTGCGAATTTTCTCAGAGACTCCGAACACAACGAAATGGCCATGGCGCATTACTACACAGCATTAAGGTGTTAAACTTTTTTTATTTTGTTGTATAAACTACTAAAATGGCGTCTACTTCTTATTAGGTTATGGCCTACATATGCGTCTGCACATAATAACCTGGGCACTCTGCTTAAAACACAAGAAGAAGCCGAAAAACATTTTCTTTTGGCTATTAAATACAACAAGGATCATTTGAACGCACATTATAATCTCGGACAATTATACAGGTAATTAAATGATAATTAATTTGATTTTTAAGTGAAATTGAATTTTTTTTGTAAAAGAAAAATGAACAGAACAGTGGAATCCGAGAGGATGCTCATGAAATCCATTTCGATCTCGTCAAATTTCACTCTGGCGTATGTCGAACTCGTGAGGCTGAAAGGACCTAATGACAGAAACATTGCACAGCTGCTGAAAAAACTCGTCGGGCTTTCATCCGACCCTGACTATGCGATTATGTATGCTCAATGGCTTCAAAAGCGAGGTGAGTTGTTTTATTTTACATTTTTCGTATTACCCACGTCAAAATACAATTTATATTTCAAATTTTACCTAATTAACTTTTGTATTTTATAAATTATATTTTTTCATTAAAAAATAATAAACTGAAAATTAAATTTTGAAAATTGTTAATAGTTTTGTTATTAATTAATTTTTAATTAAATTTCGTCATGTAATTGTTGCACAATTAAATTGTCTTTTTAATTATTAAATTTTATGTTTGTACAACAGTGAGTTCGTTCGTAAATTGATTTTAATTAAAACTAAGTTTTAATTTAAACTTTTCAAACTCTATTTTATTCATTAAATAATTAATAATTCTTGGAAAACTTTCTCAAATCACTTTATATAAGCCCAACTACACTATATTCAATAAATTTTGTTGATAAATATTTAAATTTTAAAAATTAAGTTTTACGCAAAAAAAAATTAATTAAAAATTACTCTGACGTTATTAACTAACTAATTAAATTACCCGTCAAAAGTGTTAAAAATAAGTAAAGAATCTTCCGATTCAATTTTCATTAATATCAAATTTTCTCCAAAACTTATCCGACGTTTTACCAACGAAAAAAAAAACTCATTTTTCTTCCCGCGCCCAGCTTCCGGGCCGCCGCGCAGTGTTTTTCATGTCACGACGTGTTCCCTATTGTTTTCGCAGGTAATCAGGCGCTCGCCCTACGGCACTACCTCGGCGCGCTCTCGGCGTATCGATCAAATTCGGCGGCGGCAATGACGGGCGCCGGCGGCTGCCTGCGGCGCATCGGCTCGCGCTCGCGCCTCCTGCAATTAATCACCAGGTGAGTGAGATCGATAATCCATCTTCGCGCACTTACCTCCAGGCATACAGCGGCAAAGAATCGCGGCGCGATCTTATCGAGATGGAGCGTGCCACAATATTTTGTTCGAATTTATTAGATATCAGCTCGTATCAGGCCATATCAGAGTGGCGGCGGCCGATTCAACACGTCAGCTATAAATTACACTGACGTTTATGCCATGGGGGAATTTTTTTGGAATTTATTATGCATTAAAAACAACAAAAAATTATTATTATTTCATATAAACATAGAATATTGGATTTACTATGTTCGAAACTTGTACTTTAAGTCAAAAAAGGAAATTTCTTGTTCTTTTTTTTATTTTTTGCAAAAATTTTACCTAATTTTAAGCGAAAAAAAAATTACAATGATTGAGTTGTGATATAAGAATAGAACGTAGGGTTTTCTATGTTCGGATCTTATACCGAAAGTCCAAAACTCTGTTTTTTACTAATTTTTATTCTTTGCAAAAGTTTTACTGAATTTTTAACACAAAAAAAATTACAATGATTGAGTTGTGATATAAGAACAGAACGTAGGGTTTTCTATGTTCGGATCTTATACCGAAAGTCCAAAACTGTGTTTTCTACAAATTTTTATTTTTTGCAAAAGTTTTTCTGAATTTTTAACGAAAAAATTACAATGATTGAGTTGTGATATAAGAACAGAACGTAGGGTTTTCTATGTTCGAAACTTATACCGAAAGTCAAAAACTGTATTTTCTACAAATTTATATTTTTGCAAAAGTTTTACTGAATTTTTAACGAAAAAAAAATTTCAATGATTGAGTTGTGATATAAGAATAGAACGTAGGGTTTTCTATGTTCGGTTGTTATACCAAAACTCAAACAATGCGTTTTTTATAAAATTTTCTCGTGTTTAAAGTACTGCTTAGCGCACTTGATACTTAATATACGATTTTATCTCATTTTCACTAAAAAATAATAAAAACAAACAAAATAGCTTACTTATCTTTTATAAAACATGTTTCAAAAATATACTCCACGTAAGTTTTTAATAAAACGTTGCAAACATAATTTTTTATGTAGATTTCAAGCAATTCAGCGTTTAAAGCGTGGAGAACCCTTGAATCACCCGGATGTATACCTCCAAAGATGGTACTTACAACACGAGCTGAAAAAACACGCCGACGACTACAGTCTACACACACCCACACACAAATACAACCCGACGTCGTCCCATTCACCGCCGCCGAGCAAGCGCATAAAAAACATCAAGAACAACATCAAACGTAACAAGACAATGTTCGGCAAAAACGCGCACAGCCCTCACCTGATGAAGATCACGAAAAACTGCGACACGGCTGGCAAGCACGACTTTCAGCGGATTTTTGTCACCGCAACTCCGACCGCCGCCATTCCATTGTGCTAAAATCCACTAAAAACCCGCAAAAAGTTTTCGTATAATATAAAAGTAAAAAATACAGGTTTCAACTTGCAATAAAATGGACCAAAATGCATGAATTAATTAATTTCGAACTGGAAAAAATAATTACATTGATATTTCGGTGATTACTAGTGGTGATTGTTTGCGCTGGTAATTAAAAAAATAATTTTAAAATAATCATTTGAGTTTTGCGTCACGAAAATAATTAAAACCTCAAACGAATTTCAAACACGCATTAATTGGTTTTAATTATTCATGATGGCGCGATGCGGCGCGCGATTTTAATTAGCAATGAGTGAGTGTTTGGCCGGCGCCGCCGCCGCCCCCCCACCCAGCCGCAAGCGCTCGAAATCAACTCGTTACTGTATTTTTCACAATAGATATTATATTGTAATGAGTTCATTCTGCTTTCGAGGATATTTATTATTTACGTTGTTATTGTGAACGCATAAAGCTAATATAAATCAAAAGCGTTTTATATATTATATGCAGTCGCCATTCGATATGATTGAAAATTTGTTTGCGAAAATTTTTGGCAATTTTCATTGCGGCACGCGACACTATTGGAATTGTACAAAAATGTATATATTTTTGATATTTACAAACTCGTTAAATAAATTTAATTAACAATAAATAAAAATTTTATTATAAAAATTTTAATACGGTCCTGTTAATTAACAGATCCGTATTTATTTTTTTAAATTTTTTATTTTTAGTGAATTTTATTTTTTACTTCCTTCCTAATTTTCCTCTTCCGGTGAGTTTTTGTTGTTTTTTCTTTTCAGGAAGAAAAAGCCGAAGCAATCAATGTATTTTCAGTGGGTTAACCGCAAATTGGCGAAATTGAGGATTCGAAAGACTGTTCCACAACCACGTTTCCTTAGTCCTTCCACTCTGAGTCTAGTGAGCAAACCGAGCACCGAAAAGCGGTCGAGAGGTCTTTAATATTCAAGCGGCGTTCGACTTCGTTTCTTCTGCTAATAGTCGACGGTGCGGCACTTAAGCCACCCCCGCAACCAATGCGAGCAGAAACACGTGAACCACCACCGCAGGACGAAGGTAGTAGCGCATTGAGTAAGAATCCTTACACATCCACATCCGCGTCTTGACGACCCGCGCCCAAGTTAAGAGAGCGAGGGTTTCGGTTCGGAGCGCGATGAAAACAAATAGAAAATCGATGGGTGATTTTCCAACGTTGTACAAATGTTGGATTCACGGTGTAATTCGACTAGTTTCAAAACACAAATACACAAGGGTGAAAGGATGTTGGTTGCGGGCTTCGTTTTTTTCAGTTTCAGGAGTTTTCTTGTGGTGGGTTGGCAATCAAAGGTAAGTGCTGTCGAACATAACCTCACATTATTTGACATAACCTAATATTATCTAAAATTATCTTCAACTCGACCCAATTTAACGCGGTTAAGGGCTAAATTAAGGGATAAACGGATTAGGATGAGTGAATTATACAATTTAAACAAAAACATGCCATGAAAGTTTAAAACAAAGCCTGAAACAACAATTAACAGATCCGTATTAAATTTTTTAAATTTTTTATTACGTAAAATTTTAATTTGAAGAAAATTAGTTTAAAATTATGTTTTTTTTAAATTAAAATTTATTGTTGTGTAATTTTTTACAAATTTCAGGTCCGTATTAATTTAATTTTATTTTTTTATTACGTAATATTTCACTGCGAAGCAAATTAACCTAAAAATTATGTTTTTATGAACCTAATTGCAATGCGGCGAGATTTTTTCAAGTTCCAGGTCAGTACTAGGCGTGTTTTATGAGAACAGATCCGTATTAATTTTTAAATTTTTTATTACGTAAAATTTTTATTTTTCGGAAATTTATTTAAAAATTATATTTTTTTGAATTAAATTTTATTGTTGTGTTATATTTTTCAAATTTCAGGTCCGTATTAATTAAATTTTATTTTTTATTACAAAATATTTCACTGCAAAGCAAATTAACCTAAAAATTATGTTTTTTATGAATCTAATTGCAATGCGGTGTGATTTTTTCAAGTTCCAGGTCAGTACTAGGCGTGTTCTGTGAGAAAAGCAATAGAACGCTTACTAAATCACTCTAATTACATCTAATTACACGTCGCAGAGGCGTTTCGTACATTTCGCGCTTGTTTTATGTAGTTTTGCGGCCGGCGATGTGATAATTTACGCGCGCGCGTTACGTTTCTGGAATTCCCGCAGCTATTTGTCGAGGGGCGGCGGGCGCCGGCGACGGCGACGTCCCGACGCGCGCGCGATAATTACAAAACGTATTGCGTGCGCGTGCACATTACAAACATCGGGACGATTGTGCGGCATTAGCGTCGGAACAATCGAAAACTGAATGCGAATGCAAAAACACAAAACTTGCGGATTTGTAAAAGCCGGAGCGCGCATAACAAGCCGACAAGTCGACAATGGGTGTCATGGGTGTGTAGATAAACATCGCGGTTAATTAAAGTTAAATTAAACTCGGCATGTTTAGAAATTTTATTCTTTCATCTATGGTCTAAGTCACACAATGTGAGAATAATTATATTGTAATCAAAGAAAAATTTAAAAAAAAAATTTTTTTTTTGTGTTTTTAGGGATGATAATGTGATAGTTCGGTCCTGTGTAGACATACTTACATAATCAGGGTTATTAGACTGTTTCAATTTAAATTATTCAGTTTTTCGTCGACGGGGATGATTTCGTACGCGAGATGCTCGCAAACAATGAGCGCGAATATGACGTTAACAATGATTTAGCGCTGCATACGCATACGCCATGGCGGCGGCAACGGCGGCAACATTATGGAATGAGAGGTTGAGGGTTGAGGTGGGGGATGATGGTAGCGCACAGTGGTGGTGTGATTAACGACGGCGTTAACTATTCGTTAGCGCTCGCGACTTGGCAAGCGTTCAAAGCGAGTGTGTGGAAACAAAACAAACAAAAAAGCGCGACGAAAATTCCTCCATTTGCATGTTCGACTCGACACCCCCGCACGCTCGACAACTAACATCAAACAGGAGAGGAGTCGGAGATGCGGAGTGCGCGTTGCGTTTTGGTTTTGTGAATTTATGCCCCGGCCGAAGATATACGGACGCAATCCCGACGGAAATTAGTTTTAGTTCCCCGGGCCGCACGCGCCGCCCACCGCCAACGCGTGGGTGCATTTGTTGTACCGCACAAATTTATCGCTATTCGGGGCCTGGCACTCATCATAATCACATCGACCTAAATTATATTTCCAAGAAAAAAATTATTTAAAAAAATAAATCCGGATCTGTTAAATTCCAGGACCGTATTTATTTATTTTTACACTTATGTGACGATGATTTCTAATGGCGGTTGTTTAAGAAAATTCCAATTCCAAAAAATATATATTTTTTTTAAATAAATCCGGATCTGTTAAATCCAGGGCCGTATTTATTTATTTTTACACTTATGTGACGATGATTTCTAATGGCGGTTGTTTAAGAAAATTCCAATTCCAAAAAAAATATTTTTTTTAAATAAATCCGGATCTGTTAAATCCAGGACCGTATTTATTTATTTTTACACTTATGTGACGATGATTTCTAATGGCGGTTGTTTAAGAAAATTCCAATTTCAATTTCAATTTCAATTGTGATCTCCAATTCGCATTCGGTATTTCGAGATCGTGTTTAGCGTCCACAATAAAATTTAATACACTGCTCGCAGGATATCAAATCCTTGCGAATTCAGCTCGCGCAACCATTTAAAAACGGATTAGATATAATGGACTATAAAACCGTATCGACGCGTGCATAGCGTCGGTTTTTTTACTTTTATATTGTTGCTGGATTGTTCGTCCTTGCGCCCTGGCCATAAGGACATATTACCCAAGCGCATACAAGACATTCCAAATGGAGATATACGACGTACATTAAAAATGTAATTGGATACATCCAATAGTATCAAATTTTCTACCAAGGATATTCATCATTTTTGATTTATTGAGGATTATTTTTAGCAAAATGGAGGAAAAAATTTTTTTTAAAGTCCATGCCTGTTTCATTATCTTCGCGCTAATAAATCAGTAATTATCGTCGTTTGCGCGCATTTTTCTTCGCGTCCTGCGTCTTCGCAATGAATTCGCAACGTGACAGTGATCCTTGAATCCTGCGGGATTCGAGCGGTGTGTGCTGAAATATTCGGAACCTTATCATTATTATGCATTCCTTTTTGTGTACTTCTTTTTTATTTTCCACCGTACATCAGCGGCGCGTTGCCGTCTCGTCCTGCGGAAAGGATGATTTATCTTCGCGTGTCTTGCCTGATCTTCACGCAGGCACACACAAAAAAACGCGCCGCGTCCTCGCTTTTTTTATAAATAGCTAAATATTTCACTCCCGCGCAGTTTTGTTACGGAATAAATCTATTTTAAAACGTCTTCGGCTTACAAATAAAAACTTGTTAACATACAGTGTGTCAGAATCTATTAAAACATCATAATTTTTTATATATAAAATAAAAATTATTAAAAATTCTAAGAAATTTTTAATTTGAACGTTAAAATTGCGTTTGCGACCATGTTACTGAAATATTATCACCGCCAGCAGCGTCCAGGATGATTGGGGGTGGTCGATGGTGGGTGGTTTTGTGGTGGTATGCCTGCGAGTGGGCGTCTCGCGTTACCTAGCCGGGTGATTAATCGCCGAAGGCGGCCGCTCTCCGGGCGCCCATTATCTGCAGTAAATATATTGGAAAATCGGCTTTCGCGTGCCGGCCGGCGGTGTCAATGCGGCCGACCGCCAACCCTGCATCCCCATACCGCTCGCGCGCCGCCCGATGCGATCGATATTAGTAAATATTCCATCCACAGCCACCCCCCGAATCACTTTCTATTTAGGAGGCGATTTCTATGCACAGGCACTCGATTAATGTCTCACACCTTGTCATAGTCCCATGGGCATAATATCCAGGGATGTATTTATGAAAAATATAAATTTTAATATCAAATAAATAAAAATTTTCTTTTTGAGTTTTTTAACTTTTTCTCAAGTAGATATGTATTGTTAATGATGCTTTTTGAGTTTTCGCATGGTTGTCAATTTTTCTCAAGGAATCCAACGAGGATATCTCTTGGAAATCTTGCGCAGAAGACTTTTGAACCTGCAGGGATTTGAGTTCACGTCCGCCGGCACTCGAACACGATCCGTGCATCCATAATTTAAGTAACGAACGAGGTTAAGCACACACTCACCGGTCGCGATATCCTTCGCCTTTCTTCGTCCTGCGTCCAGGATTAGATAGCGACTTCACGACGACCTCTCGATGTTCGGCCAGCATCCTCGGCTATCAATTAATAAATCAATAGCTGAGCATAGCGTTTGAATAGAGGGCGCTGCCGAATAATTGACCTCCGATCCTTGATTACACCCCGACGCACACTCGCCACATTTGCGGAAAATCAGGACCATCAATATCCGAATATCACCCGAGACGGATTGGTGCATTGATGCTAGCGCACACATTCCCGCATTTCACATTCCAATCCTCCTCTGATCCAGATCCTGATCCTGATCCGGTGAACCGGAGTGCACGTGCTAGTGCGAAAATCAAACATTTAGAATTACCTTTCGGCACTTCGGCACTGATGTGCTTGTTTTCGTTCTCCTAT